CAATGCATGTTTATTACAGAACATATAAAAACATAGTAGCATAATTCCTAGGGAAATCGCATTTTTGGTCTGTTTGAAATTACAATCGATTCCCAAGCCTTCCAAAAATTGACTTTCTTTGTTGAATGCCTTTGGCACCTGCAGAAAATTCCATATCTTTTTGTGCAGACCTGGAATACTTCATATTTAACTGAGAATGACCAATACTAGTGTTGCTGTGGGAATTACCGCTCGGCAGTTCTCTACTTATCCCTGTATGGACAAATATATTATTTTGAGATGCTGCAAGGTCTTGAAAGCATAGCTAATGGCAATAGTTTACTAAATGTCCACATACGCAGTATTTCAGGACTAAAGTATTTACAATTGATAAATTTTCTGATAGTGTTTGATACTAAAAGAAAATTACCATAGTAAAATGTTTATAGTTACACTAGTTAGGGGTTTCTGTGAGCAACTGATCAAGCATTGATGTACCTGGCTGCAATAAAATTCCCCAAACAGCCAACAAGGGTAACCCAAGACAAAAAAAAAAACATATATTGCAACTAACCAGTTCTTAGATGTGACTGCTGCATTAGTTTTTTTTTGTTTGGATTTTTTTTTATTTTCACCTGGTGCTCCTGCTAGTAAGGCCCCGTGTACATGGGACACTTCTGAACAATGAAAACTGACTGCTGAAAACGTAGGTTAAAAAAGTCTGTTTGCATAGCGTGTTTATGTGCGCTTGCGCTTAGAAGCGTTTTTTAAAGATAAGCACAGGAGAACCTCCCAAATGCCCAGAATGCACTGAAAAGTGGTAAATTATTAACCATTTCAGAGAAATACAGAGAGTAGAAGCAGAGACAGCAGTATGTATTGAAATGAGCTTAGATGCGAGTTGCTCATTAACATTTCTTTTGTTTCCAAGGGTGGGAAAGGTGTTTGGCAGAGTGAGTCATTAAGGTCATCTGGCAGGGGGTCTTCCTGAGGAATTTTAGGTTTGAATGGTCATTAACATATCTTTTGTTTCCAAGGGTGGGAGAGGTCTGAGGTGTGAATTGGTAATTACAATGTGTGACAAGCTTGGTAGGAACATCCTGTGTTCAGTGTTTTGTCCATCTGAGTACCTTGAAAACGCTTTGCATGCATTTTTCATGATGAAAAAAAGGCTCTGGACAGCATTAGGAACTGGAGGAGTTAAAAAAAAATTTCAAATGCAAACACTTATAAACATGATTTGCTGCGTTTACAAACATTTTGCGTTTGAAATGCTGATAAAATCGACTGCTGAACGCAAGTTTTCTGCGTTCAAAAAAACGACTGTAAACTCAAATGCCTGTAAATGTCTGCAAACGATGATGTGTACATGGACACATAGGAAAACATTAGGGAGAGTTCAGGGGCTGCTGAAAAAAATGCTGAACAGCTCCTAAATGTGACTTTATCAGCTGCAGTGTACATGAACCCTAACACACTTATAAAATAAAATGGTGCCTTTTATCCATGCCAGCTCTCTCTGATACTGCTGGAGAAAAGGGGCTTGCAAACAAAGTAAACAAGATAAACAATTCGGAATTTGTCAGAATAACTCTGTGGTTATTTTAATCTTTATCCTCCAAGTTTGCTAAAAACAAGGATTAAGAAACAGTCCAAGTTAGGTAGTCCCAGGGGAATGGAAAAACTGAAGATATGTTCTACATATGTACATCTGCTAAGGGACTTCTCTTCCATCTGTTTCTTTATTGTTTTCAGTATTACCTCTAATTTCTGTTCTATGTTTTTAGAAAGCAGCCCTCGCGCCCTACACAATCTAATGCTTTCCTTGGATAAATGGCAGTTAAATAGAACATCTAATTCCTAACTATTATTTTATTATACTTTTTTTTGTTATTCCTTTGCTTTTTTATTTCTGCCAGTGAATTTTCAGTGGTGCTTTATAGGTATTGATTGAAGGGCTTTTTGCTCAGCGTTCTCAAGATTTGTGATACATTTGTTGCTGTGAAAAGCTGCAGACACTTCAAGTCTCAAGTGCACACAGATGTAAAGCACTAACTGCCAAAATATTGAACAAAAAACGCTGATGTTCGGGAAGGCCAAGAAAGGTAAGCTATTAGGCTTTTTGTTTATGAGAACCTGTCAGGACAGAAACATGGAAGCTGCCATTGCTGTCTTGTTTTTTTATGCAGTAAGGGTCTGGCCAGTCATCCTTGGCTTCATTACATAATGCGTCACTCATGCAGAACAAACATACAGGTTAAGAATTCTGATTTTGCTGGCTGCAGGCTTGTGCCAGGTTGCTATTTGTTGTGGCAAGTAGAAAAAAACCTGGAGCTTCTGCAATTAAAGTGTTACTAAACCCACAATAGTAAAATCAGTCTATATATGCAGTAAAGCATTCTTGTTATACTCACTGTGGGACCCAAGGGATTAATCCTTTGCGTTGTGTAAAAAGGATGTTTGATCCTGTCTTCTCTGATCCTCCCCCTCTTCTACTGTCCCCAATCTATCTGCTGATAGTATAGAGCTCTAGGTGTCACTCTGCACATTCTCTGTTTGGTGTGTATGGCTAGAGAGTTTATTTTTCTTTGGAAGGGTGCATGCGATCAGCACTGTCCAGACAGACAATCAGGTGAGAATGAAAACTCCTCTTACAAGCTTTAATCAGTGCTTTGCTGGACACTGATAGAAGCCACAAGAGATGAGAAAAGGTATTTAGCAGTTTATATTTACTAAAATAATTGCATTTCCATGTTGTGTGTACTGTGGGAGACCAGATATAGTGAATGCAGGGTCCTGGGTTTAGTAACACTTTCATTTTTACTTTAGTGTGAATTCATTTAGTGTGAATCAATGATATAATATTAGTCAAGTGGTGCTGATACATGTGTAAAATTTGCTAAAATACAACATACAGGACATTTCCAAGGGGTATACTGTAATTACATTACAAATGACAACATCCCTTGAACTTTTAGCTGTACTGTGGATTGAACTCCTTTGGCCACAATGTGATATATATCATGTTTTTAGCCTTTTACATTTTAGCAAATCTTCCTTAGTACAGAACACCTCCGGGTAAGCATATTGCATTTCATTCAATTACAATATGACTTGTTGCAATTGTATATGCAATATTTTTTTTTATTACCCTTTACGTGTTACTGTGTGCTGATTTTATTAAGAAATGTGTCAGTTTTCATTCCAGGGAAACAAAAACCAGCATATCACCGGTGTCAGGACAGAGCTCTGTGTTGTTTACAATCACAGAGCTCTGTCCTGTCATCTGCTTTGGGTTCCGGTGTGTATGTCAACGGTGGGTTCCAGCCATAAATAATTTGTACTGTAATGAATCACAGCACAGCTATGGTGGCAGGTGTGCACGTGTGCCCCCTACCCTGAAGAGCCAGATCACATATCAGATACGTGATACAGTGCGGAGTGGCTGTCCTGCAGAAGTATATCTGCGTGGGACAGTCTGCAACTGGTTAAATGCTTACTTGCAGTGTTTTTCCTTTCCATAAACAACTTTGTATTCACATGCAATGCATCTTTGAACTTGCTACACAATTTGGCTACACCTGAAAGAATCAGTGCCTTATGCAGGCCATAGACGGGTCGTTTATCGGCCGAATTTTCGTCCGCATGAAAAATCGGCCGATAATCACGCCATTAGTGGGCCCAGCCCGTCGCCCATTTTTTGCGGATTTCCTCATTTATTTTTATCAGTCATGTTGGAAAATCCGTGAAAACCGGCCCTTTTTTGCGGACATGGGTGGCAGCATCGGCAACGGGGCCGACCGATTTTTCGTTAATCAGCCAAAAATTTGGCCGATAAATGGCCCGTCTATGGCCTGCCTTAGAAAAGCTCTTCCCTCCTTGCAGTTCCTATCTTCTGGGAGTGTTGTAATACTCTCAGTACTGGCCCGGCTTCTCTTTGCGTGTTTGTGAGTGTTGCTGTTTTGGATGATTACTGGACAGAAGCATAAACATTGAACACAGTGTATATTATTAGGCAAAGGATTTTGAATCTAATAGAGCAACTGGATAGTGCACAAGAATCATGTGTATCTTAGGTTGTCCATGCCGGTGACAATTTGATAGAGGTATCAGACTTTAGAATCTATTTTTGGTTGCTGTTGGAACAGCAAAACAAAACATAAAATGATGATTTCAGTTGACTGAAAGAAGATGGAATCAAAATTTTCCCAAACAAATGGAGCAGAAAAATCTGATCATTTTTTGCATAAATGCCAGTTTTCTTATTCCAATTTTGTCTTTGTAAAAACTGTATTAAAGCTGTCAATTTATTTCCCAGTTTCAGTGTCATAATCAACCTAATTTTGATATTGACAACTGAACTCATTAATGATATGTAGTTTCTGATACTGATCTGTGATCTTATTTGTTTTTCATGGTGGCCCAAAAGTCTTTGAAATCAACTGGAACGTGTCTATAGCTACCTTTTAGGTTACAATATAAAATGTAGCTAATTGTGGAATACTGTGATCCTATAATACAAAACATATAAATAACCAAAAAGCAATGTTATATATTTTTTTCAGAGTCAATGCACAACTCTTTGAGCCTGATGTAGGTAATGTGATATTGGTGGCATTATATGTAGGTCTTCAATTCAAAGGTGACAGAAATACTAAGACTGTATTATGAATACACAGTAATAGAGTAGCATATTGTAGTAATGGATATGTTCATACCCTGAAATGGAACAGGAGGCCTGGTGCTGCTATGGCATCCAAGTCACTTAACCACTAGCCTACAGGGCACTTATACCCACTTCCTGCCCAGGCCAATTTCCAGCTTTCAGCGCTGTCACACTTTGAATGACAATTGCGCAGTCATGCAACACTGTACCCATATGAAATTTTTATCATTTTTTTTAGACAGATGAAGCTTTCTTTTGGTGGTATTTAATCACCTCTGGGTTTTTTATTTTTTGCTAAACAAACCAAAAAGAACTGAAAATTTTGAAAAAAAAAAACCTTTTTTGTTAGTTTTTGTTATAAAATTTTGTAAATAAGTGATTTTTCTCCTTCACTGATGTGCACTAATGAGGCTGCAGTGATGGGCACTGATAGGCTGCACTGATGGGCACTGATAGGTGGCACTGATGGGCACTGATGAGGAGGCACTGGTAGGTGGCACTGATGGGCATTGACAGGCATCACTTATGGGCACTAAAAGGCAGCAGCACTGATGGGCACTGATAGGCGGCACTGTTAGGTGGCCCTGACTGGCACTGATAGGCAGCACTGCCGGTCACTGATAGGCGGCACTGATGCGCACTGATAGGTGGCACTGGCTGGCACTGATAGGCTGCACTGACTGGCACTGATTGGCAGCACTGATATGTGGCACTTACTGGCATTAATAGGTGGCACTGACTGGCAATGATAGGTGACACTGAAAGGCAGCTCAGATGGGCACTGATATGTGACATTGATGTGCACTGATAGGCACTGATATGTGGCATTGGTGTGGCACTGATGGACACTGGCAGGTGGCATTGATGAGCACTAACAGCTGGCATTGATGGACACTGACAGGTGGCACTGATGGGGCTACACTGATCACCAGGCACTGATCATCAGTGCCCTGATGATCAGTGTACATGACCCCGCTGAGGAATGCCGATTACCGGTTCTTCTGTCCTGTCATGCTGACAGCTCGTGAGGAGAGAAATGCCGATAACAGGCATTTCCTTATTTACATGCGATCAGCTGTGATTGGACACAGCTGATCTGATGAGATCTCATTATCTCATTTCCGTTGATCGGTGATCCGCTGTGTCCGAGGGACACAGCGCACCACTGATCGCCGCGCTGCGCGCCCCCGGAGCCGCGCACGTGCAGTTTGAGTGGGAGGACGTTATATGAGCGAGAGAACCGCCTTGGCCCATCATTTCCTTATATGGCGGGAGGCAGTTAAATATGTGCAATACTTGAGGGTTAGGTACTGATGTGAATGTACAACATATATGTGTGTAAAGCGCTGCATAAATTAACGATGCTATATAAGTACCTGAAATAAATAAATACATCCAGTTGCTTGCTCCAGCCATTAAGAGTATAGTTCTTCAAAAGATGTATTTATGTTTTGCATCCACAGAATTGCTATTCATTATTATCATAGATTAAAAAGTTCAAAGTTTTTCTATACAATAAAAGTATGCATAGACTTTAATTATATTGATTTGTCCTTGACTTATCTTATTTATACAGCATGTCTGTCATTGTTTAATTACTGTAATTTGTAATTTTTCATTACCTGATGGATAAAGAACTTTATGTGAACTAGGAATTAGAATAAGTGTTTACTTTAATATTTGGCAATTACAGTTTTTATATTAAATCTGAAAATGTATGTATCATATGTATCATATGTTGCTAAGAAGTTTGTAACAGCTAGAACTAGAGCCAGAGGTCATTTATTCACTTCAATACCGGGCACTTTTAGCCCCTTCCTGCCCAGGTCAATTTGCAGGTTTCAGCGCTCTCACACTTTGAATAACAATTGTGCGGTCATGCAACACTGTACCCAAACTAACATTTTATCATTTTGTTCACACAACTAGAGCTTTCTTTTGGTGGCATTTAATCACCACTGGGGTTTTTATTTTTTGCTAAATTATAAATCACACTAGCCTTGTTAGCAAGCGGCAGACAGGCATTTGGGAAGCATTTTTACCGTTTCCCAAACGCCTGGGAAAATTGTGTACATTGGTGCACATAGTGCTGTTCAAACGGGAGTGTTAGCGTCGTGTTGCGTTAGCGTCGCGGCAAAATGGACGCCTCTGGTCGAGTCAGGAGGAGTTGAAGCCTCCTTTTCAAGTCTATGGTGTCGCTCCGCAAATGCCCGGCCGGCGTTTTGCGTTGCGGTTGCAACGCGGTTGCAGGGTGTTTGCGGAGCATTAACACCATCCAAACTTTATTATAGGCATTTGTGGGGCATTTTTAACGTTCGGCAAATGCCTAGCAACCGCCGCTGAACCACGCATGCTGCATTTGCGAAGCGTTAAAAACGCTCCACAAACACCGGACCAATGCTTGTCAAACGCTATAGGGGCGTTTGGCAAGAGTTGGAAAAACAGTCAAGTGTGAACGAGCCCTAACAAAAAAAAAGACTGAAAATGTTAACAAAAAAACACGTTTCTTTGTTTCTGTTATAAAAGTTTGCAAATAAATAATTGTTCTTCATAAATTTAGGCCGAGATGTATTCTGCTACATGTCTTTGGTGAAAATAACCTAATCAGTATTTATTATTTAGTCTGTAGGAAAGTTATAGAGTTCACAAATCATGGGATATATCTGAATATTGATCAAGCCTGAAGTACTGACGGCCAATCTAATTTCTTGAGGTCCAAGAATGTCAGAACAGTACAGATATCCCCCAAATGACCCCTTTTTGCAAAGTAGACCATCCGACCGTCCGTATTTCATAAGAGGCATGGCGTGTTTTTTGAAGTTGTAATTGTTTTGTCAGAATTTTTCGGAAAATGAAGAAATTAAAAAAAATATTTTCACAATTTTTTTTTCACATACTGTCACTAGTGCAGTACAGCATCAGCATATAACTGGTGTAGCGGTGATCAGGGACACTGACTGGTGACAGTACGGGAAAAAAAAAAAAATTATTATTTTTTATAAATTTTTTTTCTTTTTTTTCTCTTTTTTTTTCATATTATACTATGACCAAGGTAGTCTAATGTTACCATAGTAACATTGTACTACTTTGGGGAAGTGATCAGTATTTTTTTTTTACACAATTTGATTGCTTATAGCAAAGAATTTCTTTGCTATAAGCAAACATTTAACTAAATGAAATCGATTCATTCAGGTTTTTTTTGTTGTGATTAGCTGTGATTGGTCACAGCTAATCACATGACACAGATGGGCTGTGATTGGCCCAGCCTGTGCATGTGATCACTGTGACCATTCACAGCTAGACACACTTGTATACAATGGATGGCATGAAAGGAAGCCATCCATTGTATACAATTGTCATGTGACCTGTTGTGATTGGTCACATGGTACTGGCAACGGGGCCGGTACACAGATCTGTCATCGGCCGTGTCCGAGGTACACGGCCGGTGACAGATCTCGCCACAGTGCAGCCCTATGGGCACGCGCAAAGCGCAATCCGGGAAGGACATACGATGCCCTCCTGGAGGGACGAGATATTCGCCTGGCTGTCATTTGGCTATAAGCTGGGCAGCAAGTGGTTAAGGGAAGCATGGTCAATGGGCATTTTGTGTGGATTTTAAAATTTTTATCAAATGCACTTCTGCACCATCAACATTTAAATTGGTGGCTCAGTTATTGTAGGCCAAAAGCCTTGTGGGTGTCTGGTATCTCTAGAGGAAATCATATATTACTGACCAAGTCGCGTCAACAAAACTTGCAGGCAGGTGCCTGTTGTTTTGGAGTAGCAGGTTTGACAGTTCTTCAAATGATAAGTGAACATGTAGGCTAAATAAGCTTAAGTGGACCTTGCAGGAAAAGTCAAGCTCCACTTATTACATAGTGCCTCTCTTCCATGTCAAATCATGGTACTAAAGCTGTAAAAAAATACATGTGTGAAAAAAGTTAGAAAATGTACTTAACCCTACCTGACGTCTGCCTACAGCTGATTGGCAAGGGAGACATCAAGTTATTTTCTAAAAACCCTGAAGATCACACGTCTTGCAAGAAAAAGTTCCTGTCCAGTTCATGAGTGTTTTGTTTTGGGATTTTGGATACTTACTTGGGATTTGGGATACTTACTTTTCCCAGGATTTTACCAGACGAATTATGCTGGCACCCTCTCACATGCAGAAGCTAGGCATAAAGTATTTTCTAATCTTTTTCCAAAGGTTTATTTTTTTCTTGTGCTTAGCGCGAAATATGTCAGAATAGAGCTGGTTCCTGCTGGCTACATTAATAAAGGAAGATTATTTAGCATTTTGGTGCGCAGCAATCCTATTGCTGATACAATTAATTGCTTCAATGGAGATCAGCTGAGCCAGCGCCTGTGATTGTAGAGTGGGGTGCCTGATCTTGCCTGGAGTGGCATGTGAAATGTTTGACATTGTATTGTTTCTAGCTTTAGTGCCATGATTTGAGATGGAGGGAACTATGTAACATGCAGACCTGGGTTTTTAATGCAAGGTCCATTTTAACCCTAGTTAGCCTTATTTAACCGTTTGACAATTTAGTGGCACTGCAACATAATGATGGATTGGGATTCTTTTCTATCAATGGCAAGGTTTACCTTTTTTATAAACTTGCCCATGCAGACAAGGGGTGCAAGTAGTATAAAATGCACTTTACCATTTGTACAAATATTGATTAATGCAAATGCCATACCTGTAGGCCTTTTCTCTCACCCATGAAGCCTGGCCAAAATACTCCCACTATTTACATTCCTAAAAACTGACTTATTTCAGGACTTGGAAGACATTGGATGCTTGCCCCAAGTATCACGTTTCTCCTCCTACCCCAGAAGAGGCTGAGCTCTGCATTGCTGGGGTAATGGAGGAAAGAGAGCACTACGCATGCAAGCCTTTTAAATCAGAAGCTGCACTTGCTTCTGTGATGCTGGGGTACCCACCCCATGTTTATACATTTTCCCTGGTATGGTTTAATGGGGGGAACATTCTTGTTACTCCTCCTTCCCCCCTGTCCTGACCACCTAGACTGCATGCTCTAATAAGGGTCTGCTAAGGGTTTTGGCAGGTACCCCAAACTTTTTTGTTGCATGGGGTTCCCTCTCAAAATCCATACCAGACCCCCGTACCTCATCATAAATTCATAGCTATGTTCTGGTGAGTCTCCATTGAACTTTACAACTTAGTACAAACTTTTAGATAGTGATAGAGACTCTGAAAGCTAACAAGTTATGTTGTTCTCTCTATATTTGTGACACCTGTGTCATGGGTGTATCCTATATTAAATGTTAGAAAATATATAGAAATAACTAAAATATAAAACGGCAGTTTCAAAACATTAAACTTAGAAATTAAAATGCAATTGATCCAACTTACAATTTCTCATTAAACAATTTCTACAGTAGTAATGTAAAATTGCATAATATGACACAAATATACAGCTAACCCTTTTACTAAGCATTTAATATGATGAGGTTTTGCAAGTCATTGCAACAGTGAATGCATTTAAATGATTTCCTTCTCTGTAAATCTCTGGTGAAGTGATTTAAATAAGAGAAAGATAACACTTTTGCTTTAGCTCTGTTTTTTGCCATGTTAAGCTTCTTTTGATTAGACACACACACTTATTTAAATCACATTTTAACAGCTTGTGGTTAACCATCTTCTTCATGAATAGCAAATTAAATGCTCATGTGAC